TGCTATTTTGCAGGTCATATTGAAGGGAAAAGATGTTCGTCTGATGATGATTGCATTCCTGGAGCCTGTGCAGAAGGGTACGATCATTGTATGGGTGGGTATTAATAGTGATATCTTAGTTATAGTTAATTTTGATGGAGTATTCGTTGCTATTTTGCAGGTCAACTTGGAGGGAAAATATGTTCATCTGATGACGATTGCGGTGCTAGAGTCTGTATACCAGGGTGCGATCATTGTATAGGTGGGCATTAACAGTGTTATCAAATGATCACTACTTAATAATTTGTCGGCATGATCAATTTGCCCAATTGCTCATTCATCAATGAAAATCTTATTGAGGCGGGTTGCCCATTTCACCTGTAGTATATTCAACTATGTCGACTTTGAAATAAATGAAACATGCTTTGTGTTGAATTAGAAAAATGTAAACATTTTGTGTTTTATTTATATAGGCAATGAAATCGCTTAGTGCCCCCAGTGAGCCAGTTGTATGATCTCCTTTGTATGATCGTTCTTATGAAAGGGAGCTGGCTCATTTAGGTTATATTACCATGTGAAGAAATGTCAGCTCAGTTCCAATTTTTTGTGCAACTAAGCACATACTATGCAATATTGTTCCACACAAATTACAATTTATGGCCGTGGCCCAAAATGTCAGCTTTAATTTCCTTCAACACCTCAGTATCCTTTCGAAACATAGAATTGGCATAAAACTGTGATTCGCAGTAAATTCTCGTTGTATGTGGAATGTGGATACAGTAGGTTGAATGTGTTTATGCGTTATGAGTTACTACACATAAACCAAAAAGAAAAAAATCTCGCTTCGAATCTCTGTGTTTTCCGCTCTTTTTATCTCTGTGTTTTCTGCACACAATCGTTTGTGTGACTTTTTGACATTGTGATGCTGCTTGATAGTTTTATTCACTTGTGCCAATCCGTTTTTTTACTGTTTTTCTGTCTGCATTTGCGGTTTCTGATTTTCAATAAGTCTCCACTGATACACATTGATTGATATTATTAGAAAAATACTCGAATACTTATCAGCTGATGGAAAATTAAAAACTACGTATTTGATTCCCTAGGCGATTAAACTCATATGCGTGAAATCATTCGAATTTCTCGGAATATTATATTCGCAGCATTCTAT